GGGTAGAGAAAACAATAACAGCTCAGGTGCTTCAGCAGGGAAGTGGTCTGTGTGGACACAGACCCTAAAGGGAGGGCAAGACTCAAGGTGAGCTGCAGTTGTACAGCATCCCTAAACTTCCGTTTCTACCTGGACGTCTGCTGTCTGAGGTATGCTAGAGCAATGGTTCTCAACCTCCCTAATGCTGCAACCCTTTAATATAGTTCCACACATTGTGGTGACCCTCAACCATAAAATGTATTGTTGCTGCTTAATTTTGCGACTGTTATGAGTTGTAATGTAAATATTTGATATGCAGGATATCTGATATGTGGCTCCCAAAGGGGTTGTGACTCACAGGCTGAGAACCACTGTGCTAGAAGAAAACACTCACTGTTCTTGATAAGAAAGCTGCCCAGAATGCAGACAACACTGTGAGCAATATGTTCTGAAATGGGATTCCCCATGAGATGGTGAACAACAAGAGACTATAACCCACTTTCTAGATGTGTGCTGATCCTGAAAGGTGGACAGGCCAGCCTTCTTGTCTCTCTGTTAATGGCTCACAATAATAACATCCACAACAGAACCATCAACAGATAGTAATGTGTTTTATTGCAGGAGTCTGAAGAGCATTTTGAGCTTTTCAAAACACTTTGATATACATCATTGTCTTTGCCCCTGGGCCTTTATCTCAGAAAGGATGATAAATGATTAAAATGAGGGAAAGAAACAAAATGATGAGTTAAAAATGAATGAAGCATTTTAAGAGGATAGCATGATTTTTATCAGTGCTAAGAAGGCCTCCAACCCTAATGTCCAGGTGAAGTTGGGGAAGATCTCATGGACAAAGTTATTCATCTTCTCTTAAACACATCATATTCACTCCTTTAACCATCTTCATAATTTCCCATCTCAGAATATGATTCTCCCTCTCATTTAGCTATACCACAAACCCTAGATGTCACCTTAGAACCTTCTCTCCTATCACCAAATTTAAAGATTCCCAGTGAATCTGTCTATGGTAAAACTATCTAAGTGCGTGTACTCTGAACACCTGTCTGTTGGTCCTGGACACTCTATAGCCAAATTCTTAATATCTCCATCCTCAAGTGTCAGACTCGGCTTCTACTACATCAAGGATCTAGCTGGTCAGACCTGGGAGAACAAGTATACACCCCCACCTGCCCTCACTAACTTAGATGCACTGGTTTCTTTTGGGAGCTTAGCTTAGTTTGTAACTTAACCACTGCCAAACTTCTGCCCCTGCCTGTCCTGTCCTTTCAAAGCCAGCCTCTTCCACCACTGCCTAGAACAGAGTTTGGCTCACAGAAGAGAATGGGTAAGTGTTCGATATAAAGGACAAATGCAGCCATTCATTTTTAGCTTGTCTCCATAGTTACTTCCCCATCCCATACTTGAGAGGACACTTGTGAGCAGCGGAACCCACCCCCAACCCAGGACTGGAAACTCCTTTAGAGCAGTGGCAAGGAACCCCTTTGAGCCAGAAAAAGATTAGCTCTAAGCACTTATATGCTGTGTAGCCTTGATCCAATTATCTGAGTCTCAGTCTACCTCTCTGAGCTCAAGTCCTCAAGTCACAGGGTCAGTAGGTCTATTCACAGTGGTCAAGCCAATGTGCCACAGATGTTTCTGCTTGCATGTGCAGCATGTGAGCCAGGACTTCTGATTGCTAGGCTGTCCTCTTGTACTTTCTGATTCACTGGATGAGGAGAGACTAGGTCTGGGTTTACACGAAACTGAATTCTTTTGAGTTGCTGTGACATAATACCATAGATGGGGTTATTTATACATAATGAAAATTTATTTTTTACAGTCCTGGTAAAGGCGGGATTGCTAGCATAGACCTATCTTCTCATTATGCCTTCACATGGTAAATAAGCAAGAGAAAACTCCGGGGTCTCTTTCATAATGGTGCAAATCAACCCATGAAGTAGGTGCTCCAAAGGCTCCATCTCCTACACCATCACATGGAGACCCATGTTGCCACATAAGAATTGGGGTCAACAAAGGTGCCCAATCTCTAGCAATACTGATGTCTCTGGTCCAGGAATCCCACACTGAGAAACACTGCTCTAGCTGTGCCTAAGGACACTGCTTGCCGACCCTGTCCTGCTCCATAAAGCATACTATTTCAACACCCAAACTTCACGTTTATATCATACTATTTCAACACCCAAACTTCATGTTTATATCTTACTATTTCAACACCCAAACTTCATGTTTATATCTTACTATTTCAACACCCAAACTTCATGTTTATATCTGACTCCTTTTTCTGGAATCTTTACCCAGTCTGTAAATTCCTCTGGGCAGAAATTATACTTCCCACACCCCGCACTCTCTCATTTTCTGTTTTGCAAAATAATGAGTACATTTCCAGTGTGATTAATAATAGAACAGGGGAAGGGGAGAAAACTCCGAATACCAATGGTAATAAAGAGCATCTACAAATGGATAGCAGCCCTAGATTCTCTTAAAAATTAATTATGAAGCAAAGAACATTCTACCATCAGTGGCAATGGAAAAAAGATTATTTTCTTTATGACACATTTTGTAGGATGTAGGTTATTTGAGATGTAAGTCTAACTTACTTAAACACCAACAATTCTGGAAATATAATACCGCAAACAACATTTCAACTCATAATTTTTACAGTGATAGTCAGACCATTGTGTCTGTCACATGTAAAATCCATTATACAGCCATGGCAACTGTTTGCAATAGGTTATAAATTTTTATTGAGATGATCATCTTGCGATTGAATTTCTAAGTGCATTATATGATCATGAGCAAATAAGTCCGTAGGGGCTTTGAAAGTGCTTTGAATATCATTTCCAAAGATCAAAGCCCCTCAAAGCCCTTACATTTACCTTGTGGAAAAAGAGAAGCCTTATCAACAGGTTCAAATCAATTATTTTTATGAATGACTATTGCATTGCAGAGCTGAGGTAAGGAATTACCTGGCTTAATAACATATCCTTCTGTCCTTTGAAAGCAGCCAGCTTCATAATCAGGTTTCAATGAGGAATTTTACCAAAGACTATTTAGAAAAATCATTGGGAAAATGGACTCTCTGTTCATCATAGTGGTTCAATAATTTTCAAAAGAGTAAGTCTGAGCCATAGAAATATTAGTGATCCTTGGCTTCTACACTGTCAGGAGTACTACTGAGACACTTCAGAGTGGCTGCTGTCAATTCTGCTCTTAACACTCAAACTGGTTCATGAGCAACTGAAAAGTCAAGTTTGTTCCAAACAATTGATCTATGAAGGAGAAATGTATGCACAGAGCAAATGCTACATCAGCTTATAGGTAATTGTGCTCACAGAAGAAAAAAGTAAACACGCCAAGCCACACAGACATACACACGTGCACCCCCTCACACACACCTCCAGCACTGGACTGTTCCTGCAGGTCACCACTGTTGTAAGACACACCCACTTCCCCTGGGTGGTTCCTTTCCTGCTCTTTCAGATGGTTTCTTCCTGCCTCCCAGGAACTCACAGGTTGCAAACCCCAACCTCTGCTTGTAAAAGAAAATACTGAGCTTTTCAGGAGGTGTCTGCTATCTGAATTCTAGTGTTTTATGCTTTCTGATCTACTTGATGTCTAAAGTTGTGCCCCTGTGCTCATTAGCTAGTTCTCTCTCTTTCTCTCTTTTTTTTTTCATGTGTTACTAAGGAAGTGAGGAGTGCCTCTACCCCTACTTTTCCTCCTAAGCCCTGTGTTTTTTATAGCATAGTACATCAAGGGGCAACAATTTTAGGGGCACAACTGTATAATAGGCCTGATGCAACATCCTCTGCTGTGTCCCATGTTAGTACACTTACGAATTCTTCACTTCCACCTCAGAAGTATTTTTGCTTCTTTTTCCCTCAGAAGTCCATGCTGGATGCTTCACTAAGCCAGACATCACAGCAGTAGAGCAGCCCTGAACTCAGTATGTTATGCCAAGGGCACACACCTCTCTATTCATCATAGTGTAACCAAAGATCCAGGGCTCTGGAGCCAGAAATCCTGAGTGCAAATCCTGTACCACGGTCAATTCAGTGAGCCTGGATAAAGTTAGAAAATACCGAGCCACTCTCCCTCCATGTATACATGGAAGAGAAGTACTTACAGGGAATGGTATTTGAGGGTGATAAGGAGATAATGTGAGTTTTAGAAAAATGAACACCAGTCTCTATCAGTCTCATGGGTTCCATTCAGAGATCCAGTCTTGGACAACAGGCAAAGGCAAGAGGCCTTGAGGATATAGTTGTATCCAGAGAATCTTCCCAATCACACCCACAGCAGCAGCACATAAGCAGTAACATCAGGGAAACAGTTGGCGCCAGAAACCCACAGTTAAAGTAGAATCCAGAGGCTCCCAGAAGGACTGTCCTAAGACAGACTCTTTAGTAAGAAGCCAGGAGCCCCCAGAGGATATGAAGTCAGGAAGTTCTGAGGGACCAAGGCAGTTTCAGAATCAATTCTAAGACACTGTCAGAGCCAGGAACCTATAAGAATGTAACTAGTATGAGCGAGAATCTCCTCAGAGACAAAGCTAGAACCAGAAACCACCAGGGCAATGACCAGATCCAGGGGTCACAGACCAAACAAACTATGCATATTAGATATACAATTAGAACCAGAAGCCTGCAGGGATGTACTTGACATAAGGATTTTGAAGGATACAATCAGAGGCAGGATCCCTTGGAGACACGGAACCAAAACCCCTCAGAGACATGCAAATGACACCAGGATTCCCCCACAATGATGAGTCCAATGGATGTCCCATCAGAAATACTGTCAACACCATGAGTGTCTCCATGACACAACCAAAGACAGAAGGTTCTAGAATCAAATCTAGAACCCAGAGTTTCTCTCAAGATTGAGAAAGCCCTTAACTATCTTTCCTTCAAAGGCAGCACATTTACACCAGAGAAACCTGTGCCCAAAAGGCAAGAGGAGGGCCAGTCAGAAGAATAGCAGAGCATCTGGAGGGACATCCTTACCGGCACACTTGGTCCTGGTGGTAAGGGGAGGCCCTGGCGGCCCTGTGCCCCCCTCGCCTGGTCTTGTGAGCAGCACTCGGATCTCATACTCCACATCAGGGTCCAGATGCCAGAGCTTGTAGTTGGGGGAATCCACGATGTGGGTCTCAGCCCAGGTGCCTGTGGTAGTGCGGTACTCTACTTCCTTCAGAATGATGGGGCCGTCCCCAATAATGGAGTTGGCATTTGGCTTAATCCACAGGTAGGTGGCTCCCACTGCCAGAAGTTCTGGGGGGGCAATGGGTGTGGGAGGCTCTGTAAGAAAGCAAGCAAGCAAAGGAATTTCAGTCTAAGTTGTTTACATGGCAGAATCTAATCACATAAGGAAAAGTGGCTAAACTTTCAACAAAATCATAGACATGGCTGGGCAGATAAAGGAGCTTGCTGCCAACCATGGCACCTTGAGATGGGTTCAAAGGACCCACATGGTGAAAGGAAAGAACTGACTCCCATAAGTTGTCCCTGAGCTCCACTTACAGTATGTTATGTATTCATGTGCATTCACATCCCCACCCCCTTGTGTGTGTGTTCCCATTTAGTGTTTAGGTATGACAGGTTGTATAACCTGTAAGGGGGCTGATTTTCCCCCTCTCAGCAGCCATTAGTTGCCTGTAGTTCTTCATCTAGGGTTGGAGCCTTGTGCAATTTTTCCTATCCATGCTGGAAAATCATCTGGTGTTATCATTATGTGGGTATTGTTTAGGGGACCACGTTATTGCAATTTCATGGGTGCAACTCTCATTGAGAGAAGGCACTATCTCACATCAGACTGTGGCTCTTACAATCTTTTGCCTCTTCCATGGTCTGAGTCTTAGTTGTAGGGTCATGTTATAGATAGATGTATCAATTGGGGCTGGACACCCCATGGTCTTGTTGTTGTCTGCACTTTACCAATTGTGGGTGTGCTGTCCAGTTTTATGTCAACTTGACACAAGCTAGAATCATCAGAAAGGAGGAATCCTCGGTTAAGAAAATGCCTCCATAAAATCAGGCTGCAGGCAAACCTGCAGGGCATTTTCTTAATTACTGTTTGCTGTGGGAGGGCCCAGTCCATTATGGGCATTGCCAATCCTGGGGTGGTGGTCCTGGGTTCTATAAGAAAGCAGACTGAGCAAGCCAGTAAGCAGCACTCCTCCATGGCCTCTGCATCAGCTCCTGCCTCCAGGTTCTTGCCCTGTTTGAGTTCTTGTCCTGACTTCCTCCAGTGATGATCAGTAATGTAGAACTATAAGCCAAATAAATCTTTTTCTCCCCAAGTTGCTGTGGTCATAGTGTTTCATCACAGCAACTGTAGCCCTGACTAAGACAGTGGGTTTCCCTGATTATCTCCATTTACCGCAAAAGGAATTTTCTTTGACAGGGTATAAGAGCAAAACTTACCTGTGGGAAGAAAGATAAGTATTTAGAATACGGTTAAGCACTACACTGATCTAGAAAAATGGCTGTAGTAGATCCTCCTCTAAAGTCCATGATATCAACAACCATGGGTAGTCAAATAAGTTTTCAGTACCAACCATAATTTCTCTGCTATTAAGGAGCCTTAAGTCCAATTAGACAGCTGATGGTTAATCCCAAGATATCATTGACACTATTGTACCACTGGTGACATCTTGCCAGGCTGGTCATCGTCATGGTTAGTAGGTAGCTGGGTAAAAGTACTGATGGCTTTTCTCCCCTGGCAGATGCATGCAACCTTTGGACGCTGTGAGACTAGTACTCAGGGAGGAGGTTTTCACGTTGGTTCCACCTCAGATCACACACACTATTAGCAGAAATCCTCTGCAGATGGTGGTATAACCACAGATAGGAAAAGGATGGTGCAACAAGAATTCTGCTTCTCCCTTATCCTGTCAGGTTTCTGCCAGCAGAGAGTATCCTTGGCTAATAGAAGGATAGCTGGAATCAAGGGCCAAAGGAAAGATCATACCACATTATCTGCTAACTAATCTATGTGGCACCTTCTTTAGGCAATATATACTTAACCAAATATACATAACCAAACTCACAGAGGAGTGAAAGTGAGATGAAATCCACAACCCCATGCAGGGTTCCCATATGTAGGTCAAGACAGCCTCAGACTCACCATGTATCCCAGGCTGGCCTCAAATGCCAGGTTCTCTTGTCTTGCCCTTTGGAATTCAGAGATTACAGGTACACATCACCATACTTCACCACATGGCCATTTGTTTGTTTTAAGATGTATTTTGGGCTTTATTTTATTTTCTGAAAAATATTTTATTTGGAGCTGGAGAGATTGCTCAGTGGATAAGCCATTTGTTTGCTCTTGAAGAAGACCTGAGTTCAAGTCATAGCACCCACATGGTGGCTCATAACCATCTGTAACTCCAGTTCCAGGGGATCAGAAGTCTTCTTCTAACATCCATGGACACCAGGCACACAAATGGTGCACAGACACACACTCAGGTTAAACATTCACACACATAAAATAAAATAAATTATTTAAAAATTTAAATACTTTATTTAATATTCATACATGCATATTATTTTCACAGGACTTACACAAGGTCAACCAAAGTCCCCGCACACATAGAGGAGGAGCTCGTGAATCACCACCCCATCTGAGGAAATATGATATCTGCTGGAGAGGGAGAGTCACTTTGTGTCAGGGATGTGGATTCTGAGGTGCAACCAATGATCCAAAGAATTTATTTTATTTTTCATTATGAGTAAGTGTGTGAGTATTTACATGAAAGTGCAGGTACCTGCAGAGCCCAGAAGAGAACATCCACTCTCTTAGGCTTGGAGTTACAGGTAGTTGTGAGCAGCCTGGTGTGGGTGCTGGGAACTGAATACTGGTCTTCCACAAGAACAGGAAGTACTCTTAACCACTGAAATCTCTCCAGCATCCCCCCCCCACCCACATTTTGTTTGTTTTTGTTTTTAAACAAACTTGATATGTTCATTATTTTTGTTTGTGATGAACACAGAAGCGGAAAAACAGTCACAGAAGGTAAGGAAGAGAAAGCGCATCCTCTCTCAGCCGCCAACAGAACAGCCTTGGGAACTGCTGCAAATTCTAATCCAGTTCTTATTCGTACCCTACATATTTTCCTGTAGTTTCAATGACACATAGGCCAGATGTAGATTAGTTTTGCTTCCCTCACTTTAAGTATCCTAATAGTCCCAGTCACATGCTAAAGGGAGGGGGTTGCTGTCTTTTCTAGTCACTGAATAACTATCAAGTTATCATCCTAATTATTTTCCCACCAGTGGGTATATGGGTTGTTCTAAGCCCAGCTTTGGTAAATAATTCTGCCACAGACATCTCTATGCAAATGATTTCAGTCCTCCTTGTCTGAGTCTGATATTGTTTTATGACCAAAGGCCAGGAATGGGGTTATCTGTCAAGGGGAATGAACAAGTCCTTGAATCCTATAGCAGAATGTAGAGGTGATAGGGTAAGAAGTTAAATGCAGATTTATTTAAGAACTCGTTACTGAGAAGAGTCTCTGGGCTACTCAGATGAGCAAAGGAGGAGTGGGGTGCTAAATTTAGTTTGGAATCAGGTAGAGATTTTGGGATAGAGACTCATTCTGTGTTTTTCTTTTAATTAATTGCCTCGCATTAAAGATTCTCCAGAAGCAGAATAATTTGTTTTAAACCAGGGATGGACAATATACTCCCAGTGTGACTCGAAGCACATCTTGAGGGACAACTTCAGATTGCCTCTATTATAGCTCACCATTTGGTCAGAGAAGGGAATTAAGCATATTAGTCAAGCTAGGTGCTTTTCTTTACAAAGCCATGGAGGTTATTACTCAAGACCTTGTTATCTCAAAGGTGTTTGCAAATTGATTTTGGGATAATTTGTTCCAGGTAGAGAAGTTAAGTTGGCAGGCAGATAATTTCTGGACTCATCCTTTGTGCATTTTAAATATATAGAGCTTCTGACGGCCATTATCAATTCTCAGGAGCTCCCATCAGTCTCCAATGAGGCCTCAAGGGTGATATTTTGTAGCTCCATGATGACTCTGCCTAATTCCTTAATATAATTATTCACAGACCAGATCTGGACAGGATGAAGAGCAACTCACTCCAGTTCTGCGGGGGCTGAGCAGTGGCTGCATTCAGCTCTTCCATCGACTTTCTACCATGGTTTACTGCTCTCCTATTTCAGGCATTAGCAGTTTTCAATTTCTGACCACCAGAAAGAAAATATAGCATTAATCTTTCCAAACATTTACTCTCTTTTCATGTATTTCTAATGGTAGGTACAAGTACAATAACAAACATCTTCTTGAGTGTATAAATGTCCCCATCTCAAATGGCTAGTGGGTTCACAAGTTCACGTGCAGTCTTGGCTCTATGGAGTGCTCTCTCTCTCTCTCTCTCTCTCTCTCTCTCTCTCTCTCTCTCTCCCTCTCCCTCTCCCTCTCCCTCTCCCTCTCCCTCTCCCTCTCCCTCTCCCTCTCCCTCTCCCTCTCCCTCTCCCTCTCCCTCTGTCTGTCTTCCCAAAATAGATCATGTAAATTCACCGTAGTGTCTCCTGTTTTGAGCACCATGAAGGCATCACATTATTGCTTTTAGTTTTTATATTTTGGATTTTCTCTTTTCAGTGGCATGCTGGTTTAAAACTGGCATTATTTTAAATAAATATGTTATTTTAAATAAATGTGTTAAAAGAGGAAGGAAGCGGGGATGAGGGATAATAATCTCTTATTAATAAACAATATATTGTTTTTAAAATGAATAAAAACATTTGCATTAATTCTTATCATGAATTCTCTTCTATATCTGAGATGTACTCTCCAGTAAGACCATGCAAGAGATGCACATGGACATCCAGTCAAGCTTAGATGACAGCCATCATAAGATCCTGAAGACATCTAGAGGGATAGTGAGTCTCAGAAGGCACTACAGAAATGGGGTAGGTGTAGCATTAGAACTCAAGGCCAGATTCCTGCCCCTCCCTTTCTCATTTTATACTTTAGATGTTTATGGAATTAACCAGAAGTGTCATTAAAGAATGTGTATACCAAGAGTCTTTAACTTTGAGTAATACAGAGACCCTAAAAATCTGATAAGGAACTCTAGATGTTCTTCTGAGAAATGCGCCAAAGTGCATTACCCAGAGTTCTGTGCTGTAGTGGGTAGCCATTCCAGCTTTGATCTGGAAGTTCCAACCCCCATTGAGACTTCGGCAACTGTCACGCCTACAAGGCGGGGCCAAGGGAGGTGCCTGGGGACCCGAGATCTGGATCGGCGGGCGCTCTCTCTGTTGCGGGGACCCTGGA